CCCCTCCCAATGCCCGACCACCCTTCCTGTGAATAAATCCTGCCTGAATCCCATCCCTAGGAGAGCATTAATCCAGCTGAAACCTTTCAAGCTCATTTTCAAACCCACACACGCCAAAAACAGAGACATTTCCCGCTGCTACTTCATGATCCCAAACGCTCTCCTCTAAAAAACTTATTTTCAATCAGAGTTCTGTCTCCTCTCCATGAACTAATACATGTCTGGCTGCAAACCTCAGCAGTATGAGCTCCTGTTTGCTGGAATATTCAGCAGCCACATTAAAATGCACCCATTAAGAAAGACAAACTACTTAGGATGTGGACTGTCCCTGGCTGAGCATTTGTGTGGTGATAACGCAATTGCACCTGACCCTCTGCCACATTCAGGGCATTAAAATCACACCAAAATTTAATTTGCTGTCTTTTGCAAATTCATCAGGATCCCATAAATAAGGAGGTGGGAAAAAATATATTGTAAAATGTTTTAGGAAAATAAATTGAAATAATTCCCTTCAATTCTAAAGAGCTCATTTAAATGTCTTCATGTAATGCTGAAGCTGAACACTACAGCACAAACAGACATCAAAACCTGAAAACCAAAGTGATAGCATTCAAGTGAAGACAGGATCTAAGCTAGTCCATTGAAAAAAAGTATTAATGGCCCAAAATCAGATCATTAGTTTAAATTCTACTAAAATCTATATTAAAATATTAAATTATTTTGTTTGAGGACATCTAAAAATTAAACTGGACACTTTTATAATGGAAGTTTAAAAAATTTATATAAAACCATACTATATTTGCTGCAATACTTAAAACCTCATAACAACTAAGAGCTTTTTTTAATTGAAGAACTCTAATGCAAATATTGCTAGAATTGCAGTTTTTTATAGTAGACACATCATTTGAGTGCAGTGTGTGACTGCTGTGGGCCTTCCTCTTCCCCTTGGGATCAAAGGCCAGAAGAATTTCAGACAACTCTGGAAACAACAAAACCCCCAGCTTTGAATTCTGCCTGACATCAAGCTCGTGTCTAGTGGGAGATTTACAACACTCTTGAAAACAGAGTAGAAAAGGCTTTTTTTAATGGAAACACTGAAGGACCAAGAGCCCCAGTCATGCTAAGAGCTGTCACTGCAGTGTTCTTTCCTTCATGTCCTGAAAATTCCACTTTATTCTCCATTTGTCATTCTTCTCTGTAAAGACAGCCACTTCATTATAGAAATTAGGCTTCTTTTCTGCAGCCTGTCTTCTTGTTTCAGACTTTTGGTTTTAATTCCTCGTGTTCTCAGTAATTTTGATCACTAATTTGGCTTTCCAGCTTTAACTGGTGACATTTTAGACAGAAGCTTCAGAAAGCTCAACTGAAAAAACATTGATTCAGTGGCTTAACTTTATCCTGGAAGTTTTATTTTTCCAGACTATTATCCCAAGAGTATGAACCAATTAATTTTGAACACAAGTGTAATGAATGATGGTTAAAAATCCCCATTACTTAAACTTATCAGTGCACAAAAACCAGCTTGCTTCAAGCCATGTAAAACCAGAATATTTCTCAGAGATTTACTCAAGAACACAGACAAACCCACTGGAAACAGCAGGCTTTAAAGAGGAAGTGTAGGTTCTCACTCTGATACAGAAAAAAGTCAAATTCGAACATATTTAGATTCCTAAAAAGTGTCACTTCTGAGGCATTTAAAACCAAACAGAGCTGCTCTACTGCTTTTACACTTGATAGTGTGCACGAATGGCACCTGCAGGGGAAACAACAGTGAATCAGAACTTGAGCTGGCTCTGTTCGATCAGTCTTCAGCAGCACAACTGCTCCCAGCTCACAGAATTACAGCGTTAGAAGGAATTCCAGGCACAGGAAAGGAAAATGAAGAGGAAAGGAAATCCAAACCCCTGGAGATGAGCTGCCACGCCAGGCTGGATCTGTGGCCAGGGCAGGGCGTCCTGCCCAGCCCGAGCCCCCAGCTGGGAGACAGGAGAAAGTCAAGCTGCAAAAGCTAAGCTGGATCACTGCACCATCTAAATGCAGCCCCAATTATTTTCTGTACACCAGCAGAAATCTGTAATGAACCTCTAAATAATTCCTGAACTAGGAACCACTGAGCTGTCCTGAATGAGACTGGGGAAATGCCATTCCATTGCCACCTAAGCACTGCTTTGGATGTGATGGATGGCAAAAACCTACAAAATTTAGTATTTATGTTTTGGGGCACAGAGGAAAAATCATGGATGTCTGCTCACCTCCATCAGGAAACGCCGTGTGTGTCTGCAAGGCTCAACTCGCAGAAAGAAAACTTATTTATTGCTAATCTTTAAAAGGCATCAGTCTTTGACACGCACTTTCTCAGAGGTTTAATTTCAAAAAGCATCAGCTCACATCAACTTTCACAAAAATACCACAGGACCCATCATTTCCCTAACTGCTGTGTAAAAAGCAATGTTCAGGAGAGTCAAATGTGCTCTAAGGCAAGAGCAAATACTCATCAGGAATGCCATGAAAGAGAGAAGGAAAGGCCAGCTAATGAGTACACAACATGCAGCTGCAGCAGAAGTGACAGGGAGAAGGTGGGGAAGGGAGAGGAACCACAAAAAGCCTCATCCTAATTAAGCAAACATATGACAAAGGAAAAAACCTGCACTGGCTGGGTGTGGTTATTTCATGATTAAATGCTAAATAATGAGAAATATTTGGCAGAAATACAGGCTGTGTGAGAATAGAGCATTTACAGTTATACTACAGCAGCTTTCAGTTTCTCAAGGTTAGCAGGTTTATTAAATCAGTGATTTTATACAGGTGGATTTTTCTTTTTTGTAATTCAGTATTATACAAGACAGAATTGTCTTGTCCTAATACAGAGATAAAGCCAAAGGTCCTCCTGAACATGCATTGTATGAAAATGAAAACCAGGGACTTTGGGTTATGAAAAGAAGCCATATGACTAAAAAGTGAATCCATTTTCCAAAACGCCCACACAGACAAGAGCTTCTGATGAGAAAAATGATCTCTGCAAAGCTAAATTGCACAGATTATTTCCATCAAAAGTTAGAATCTTGCGGATTATACGATATTTACTGTGCTGGGATTTAAAAACAAAATCCACCAACTTTTTATACTATTGCAGTATGAATAATTACTTGATTTTTTCAATGTAAATTATATTAAAAATAATTACTTAATGGAATAATTGCCTTCTTTTAGAATTCACGTAGGCAATGATGCTTGCTTGGTTTTTCCAGGATTGTTTCTCTCTGGCTGCTGGTGAGTTTTGGGTACCTTTAGACTGAGGTGCCACCCCCTGTGTGTGCCAGCTGGGGCTTACCTTGGCACTGGAATCCTTGCTTCCCAAATCCCCTGTGGAAAGAAGGAAAAGGAACCGCCTTAGTACGTTTGGTTTTAATTTCTACTCAGTGATCTCTAAAAACATAAAAATAGCTTCATATTAAATTACCTCAGGTTTTGCTACGACAGCAACAGATTTTCAAATACACAACACAGACCAGCCCACCCATTTCAAAGCAGAGAACAATAGCTGTCACCAGCTATGTAATTTCAGCTTCTGGCAACAATTTTTTTATTATTATTATTTTACAAGCTATTTTGGATCTACAATTATCATCATCTGTGATTGCTGCATAATATTTCAACTCGTTGAATGCCACATGTATATTTAACAGCCACGTGAAATATTCCAAGTTCCAGCAAAGGCACGTAAAACAAACCAGACTTGGGGTTTCATCCAGATTTTGGGATTACAAACGGCTGTTGTGAGGCTTAGCTGGAGTCCAGCCGTTTGCTGTATGGAAAGCAAGCAGGTGAAAAGTTTTGCTTGTTTCAACAGAAATGAGAAGACAGGCCCCTGATTTTCATAGTGATTATTCTCCAGCTTCCTTGCTCCATTTCCATAACGAAATACAAATGTGCGTGTAGCACTTCTGCAATGAACACAATGACATCCAACACATTTTGTACCTCTGGCAAACTCCACTGCTGTGGATTTATTTGTTTATCTTTAAGCATCTAACATTCTCTTCCCACAAAAATAACTGTTTTGAGTATCCAGCCTCAAAACATTTCTCTGCCTTTTTCTTTGCAGCCTGTTTTTCATCTGGAGAGCAGGAGCTGCTCACACTCAAACAGACAAAAGCCATGAGCTGGAGAAGCTGTGTGCAATTAACGCCATCGAGCTTAATTATCAATTTTATGCAAATGGTTTCTTAAAAAAAAAAAGTATCAACAATTTCTCCACTTTTTATTTATTTATTTATGGAAGAGACAAAACCTTCAGTGCACTGTTCCTTCAGGAAAAAGCTGAAATGACACAGCTTAGAGCATTTCTCTGCACAAGTTGCTACTTCTTGTTATTATAAGCACACCTGAACCAGGAAAACCAGGAGAAAAATCAAATTATTGTTTGCTTGGCAGCACATGTGCCTATATTGTCATTCTGATGCTTTTACCACTCATCTTCACAAAACTCAAAAGCTGGAAGCGTGGAAATGCAATCACAGGAAAGCCGATGGCGGGACCAAGAACATGAAACAGACTTGAGATAATTTTTAATCCTTTGAAATAGACTTATTTGCAAATATTCCTGTTTTATCTCCTCCAGAAGCACGGCTGTTGCTCAGTGTCTGAGCTGAACCCCTGCAGAGCCGCAGCCCATTCCACTCCCACAGCAGTTTCAATGTAATTTTTAAGTAAAAAGTCTTTTCAAAAATATCAACAGTCCAGAACCAAAGCAGAGAGGTGAAAGTTGCTGAAGAGGAAAAGGAGGCACTAAACTATTTTGTAAATATTACCTGATGAAACATACTCCAAGGAAAAGAATCTATTTGTAAATTTCATTGAAAGGTAGTGTTTTTTAAACCTTCCAACATTGTTAATTGACACAAGTCAATTTGGAAACACTCAACGGTGCGCGATGGTTGTTTGAGAGCGGCCCATCTCCAAACCAGAAAACCAAACAAGTTTTCGAGGTGTCAGATGCTCCTGTAAGGAACGTGAGGAGTTTCCTCCGGCTCAGCAAGCACAAGACAAGAGCGCAGTGCTCTTGCCACCTGTCAGCCACAGGACACCCTTTCAATTCCTGTCATTGGTGACAGAGCTCTGCTTTGTTTTATAATTGTGCTGCGGGTGTGCACAAACACCGCTCGCAACAACCCTGCAGCGGTTTTTCACACCTCCCAACCCATTCTGGTTTAGATTAACTTTGAAGCAGTTTTTGAAAGTCTCTCACTTTTACCACACCCAACTTCACTTTTTAATTTTTTTTTCCCTCAAAAAAAATTTAAAAGAGAGAAAAACTCAGAAATTTGACTTGTTTCTTGCGCAGTCTACCATGTCAGCTTTCCTTCCTCACTCTGTGAATATCAATCATTTCTGGCACAAGCACAGTCTTTGCTTCAGCTTGCAAGCAGAGGAAAACTGACAGAGGAAGGAAAAGGTCCGTGTCCAGACACATAAACACACATAAAGAGAGCAAGAAGCGTGCCACAGACAGCCAGCTGCGTGCAGACCCTTTCACAACTTGGGCCAAAATAAATCACAGCTCTCGCTTTCGGCACCCAGAGCTGCAGTGCAAACTTGAGCAGCGCAGCACGGCTGGAGCGAGGTGAAGGAGGGGAATCCCGAGCTGTTTGTGCAGGTCCAGGACCGCCGAGGCTCCCGCGGCTCCTGCCGAGCCCGGGCCGCCGCTCCTCGCTCGGAACGGGGAACGGGTACGGAACGGAACGGCCCGGCCTGCGCGGAGCTGCCGCCCTGCCCCGGCCCCGCACGAACCCATGGGTGTACTTTTCCCTACCAGCTCAGCAAGGAGGGTGTTGGTAGGGAGTTTTCCTGCCCTCTCGCGCAGGAACACTTCTCTCACAAAAACCACCCCTCCCTTTCCTCGGCGTGGAGCGGAGCAGCGGTGTCACGGTGCCTGCCCGGCCTCGCTGCCCGCCCTGGGCAGCAGGAGGGAGCAGGGCAGGCTCTGACCAGGAGTTAATGCTGCGGGACCCGAGTTCAACAGCCCGGTCTGGCACGGGCACCCTCCGTCCCAGCTCGGCTGTGCCCGGCTGAGCCCCCCAGCCCAGCCGGACAGAACCCCGAGACAAGGGGTGAGAAACACAGCTCTGGACCGTGTGGGAAGCGATAACCCCAGTGCGAGGCTCCAGACCCTGCTGGTCTCTGCGATAACCCGAGCGCCGGCAAGTTTGGGGGCTCCCACCGCCCCGAAAGCGGGGTGCGCCCAGCCCGGGGCTCCCCGAGCGGCGGCAGCCGCACACAGCCCGCCGGGACGGGGATGCGACAGCGCCGGGGCAGCGAGGTGACACGGGGGGGTCACCCCCAGCGGGGTCACCTGCCCGGCCCCGGCCAGAGCGGCGGCACCGCGACCCGACTGCCCGGGGACGCGGCGGGTGGGCGGGGAAGGGAAGGCAGGGCAGGGACGGCGGCTCACCGGAGCCGGGGCTGCCCGAGGCGGGGAATCCCCGCGGCGGAGCGGGCCCGGGCGGCGGCAGGCGCGGGGGGAACGCGCGCCCCGGGCTCTCACCAGATGAAGTCGGTGCAGTGGCTGCAGAAGGTGGGCTGCTTGAAGAAGCGCGCGATGAATTTGTGCTCCTTCACCTCGTGCACGTTCTTCTGCCTCAGGGCGCCCTTGCGAGCGAAGCGCCGCGCCGCCTCCGGGTCGGCGCCGGGCTCGGAGCCCGGGAACACGTCGGCCATAGCGCCTCCTCCCCACCCCCCGCCGCTCCGGGAGTCGCCGCCCCGACGTCCGCCCCGTCCGGCGGCCGCCGAGCCTCTGGCAACGGCGGCGCTGGGCGCTGCCTCCCGCTCCCAGCCTGACGTCGGAGCGGAGGAGGATCCCGAGCCCTCTCGCCGGCTGCTCCGCCCGCGGCTGAGCGAGCGAGCCCCCGGCCGGGGCGGGGCGGGCGCGGGGCCGCCCCCGCCGGGGAGCGCCGGGGGAGAACGGGGGGGCGGCCGCACCTGCTGGCCCTCGTCAGCTCCCGCAGCGCGCCCCGGGGCTCTTTCTCTTTCACACACACAGCCCGGGTGCTCTCACGCACACTGGGGCTCTCACACACAGCCCGGGTGCTCTCACGCACACTGGGGCTCTCACACACACACTGGATGCTCTCACACACACACACCGGGGCTCTCTCTTGCACACGCACCGGAGCTCCCACACTCACCGGGGCTCCCTCCTGCACACGCACCGGAGCTCTCACACTCACCGGGGGCTCTCTCGCACACACACACCGGCTCTCCCCGCTCACCAGCTCCCCCCAAAACGCACCGGTTCCACTCAGGCACACACCGGTTCCCCTCTCTCTCTCTTTCTCTCACATTCACCTACACAGGCTTCCCTCACACACAGGCACACACAAAAGCTCCTCTCACTCACACGCGCACGCTCAGAGGTTCCCTTAAACACGCGCACAGAATCTCCCCTCTCACTTTCTCTCTCTCTCTCTCCCCCACACACAGCCGCACACAGAGATTCACTCCCGTGCCATGCACAGACAGGGGATCCCCTCGCACACACACACACACAGAAGGTCCCATCTCAGTTTCTCTATCTCACACACACAGAGGTTCCCCTCCCACCCCCGCACACAGACCGGCTCCTCTCACTCCCCAGCTCCCTCCATGCTCGCACCGCAGCCAAGTCTCTCTCCCCCTCACACAGCCCCAGGCAGGTCACACACACACAGTTTGTCCCATGTCAACCATGGAAACCCACACACACAGTTTGCCCGGTGTCAGCCATGGAAACCCACACCTCCTCTCCCTGCAGGCAGCAGCAGGACCGTGACCTCCATCCCTGCTTCCATCCCTGCTCCCTTCTCCCGGCCCGGCACAGCCACCTCCGTGTCACAAAGCACGGGGAACCTGCTCCTCGCCGCTCCCAGCCGCCTTCACCACACACTCTTCCTGCACCCCACCCGAGAATCGTTATTCCTGCACCACAACAAACAAAGTGCAGCCCTGTGCTCTCCCCCGCACACCTTTCCCCTTCCTGCCGCTCTCAAAGGCAGCCGCAGACCTGTGAGCGCTGAACCGCCTGCATCTCTCAGCACCACAGGATGTCCTGCCGCTGTGCCATGGATCTTTATGTATCAATGTAAATACATGCAGTAGTTCTTATTTCAATACAAGATCCTCAACAAAAAGTGTAGGAAACATCCACCAAGTCTCTTTCTCTCATTAGGGCATTCAGCACACACACAACAGACTTTTACCTTGGTTTTATGTCATCAACATAAAATAATAGACCTGTCCATCTTTCCTTACTCAAATTATACACAAAATATTCCCAACTCCCTGGATACAGAAACATCTGCCCATGGCATCCTCTCATATTAATACACTCAGAAAAATCATGGCTATGCCAACATAAAACCACAATATATACATAAAGTAAAGAAACCAAGTATTAATCATATTGTAATTATTCAATGTTGTTCCTGTTGTTACAAATTTACACATATGGGACATAAATGCATGTTAAAAGTTCTACCCCAGTATATCTACACACTCATCTGTGTAAGCATGTGCAAGATGTTTTATTTCACAAGAATGAAAGCCAGCTAATTAACTCAGATTAAGTGCTGATGGGAAAAGTGTGCATGGACACTTAGCACACAACAGAAATAACTCGCTACATACTATCTTAATTTAAAAGCCTCAGTTTCTGGGTGCAACTTGGCAGAACTGGAATGTCCATGGCATTTCACCAAATAACCAATGACAGGGATGGCCCCGCTTTTCTCTAAACTTAGAGAATCACACCAGATGCCCTAGAAACTGCTGCCATATGCCCCTGCTTCATGGATTTTATTTTGTGAGCAACTACTTCCAAATTTGATCTGAAAGCCAATGAAATATAAAGATTTTTCATTTGGTCTCCACCTATTCTGCACATGTTGTAAATCTCTTCTTCCTCTTCAGAGGGAATAGATTTTTCTTGCCTTAATCAATTTATGCCAAAGCATGAGGAGCACCAAGAAACATTTTGTACTCTTGTTAAGGGTTCTATCAAGAAACATGAAATGTGTTTATTTCCATTCCTTTTGTGCTGCATCACAAAAACAGCCACCAAAACTGGAGGATCTGAAGGGGTCACAACTTGGATTACATCAGGTTGGGGAAATCTGCGTATTTTGCTGTTCCTTAAAATCTCACAGACCTGCTGAATCATTTTGGATTCCAGTTTCTTTCCTGCCACTGATTCTGGACCAGATTCATTCACTGAAACACTGATGAGTGTGCCAGGCTCGTGTCAGGCCCCAGGGAAGAGCCAAATGGCACCAGTCACAGCACTACAGGATCACAGTAGGATTGCTTTACTGATTCTCTCTTTTTAAAGCAACTATTTCACATCAAACCTAGCAATTACTTGTACATCATGACTAGACAAACTAGGCAAAGAAAAACTCCATTATATGTGCCCAGACAACCAGGTAAACCCTTAAAACACATCCTTGCCCTACTGTATTTAACACACAATTCCTTTTACTGCTGCAGTTTGGACACATAGCACTTACACAGTGCTTTTATTATATCCACCTTCAATATCAGGGTTTGTCCCCCTGGCCAGGCCACTCTTACAGCGATACCACAGGGGCATGGTGTGTTCCACGCCCAGACACCTTTGGGATGTGTTGTTGTGACACCAGCTCCTCTTGCTGGGAGGTTTTTCATTGCCTGGACGCTCATTTTTTCTACTCTGGGTTCAGGTCCTGTGGGTGATACAGGAACCCATCCCTCCTTTGTAAATCACTGGAGAAAAGACGTCTGCCACCTCTTCCTGAGTGAGCACATTCCCCCAGCAGCTCATGGCTTGCTCTTCTGCCCAGGGGAGTGTTTGCAATTTGCTTCTGGTTCAGGCCATCTGGACAAGGAGTCAGCATTTTCACTGTTTGTGTTCAGGCATATACATGGCCATTAAATCAGAGCTTTTCCAACCAGCTTTTCCAATCTCCTGGCCAGCAGCTTCAGAACTCCTGACTCCAAAGTGCCATTTATGGGGTCTTTTCATAGCAAATTTATTCCTGTATGGCTGTTTGGATGATATCCTAGAGACTGTCCCTGATAGAAGTTCCTATTGGATGATTTAAGGGTTTTTTTTCTCTATATAATTTGATTATTGCTGTAACAAGCACAACTTCTGAAGTTCTCTCTATATTTCCATCAATACCACCCTAGGTCTGTAAGTGCATCTGGGTTCATTTTGAAAAAGGTTTCTCCTGAAATGTCTTTGCTTTTACTCATCTGCTGGAACAGCAATCCACAGTCCGCATCACTTTTTAATCAAAAAGCAATAAAAAAGGAAACATGTATCAGGCTCTGTTCTGCCTCATATCCATTCAGAGGGAGCCAAGGAGAACACCTCCATCAACTGTTTTGGCAACTGTGGCTGTTTTATTATTTCCTGCTTCTGAGAAATACTCAGCCAACAGGAATCACTTCCTGCTGGATGCCTATAAGGAAGTTCACAAGCCAATTCCTCCTCACATTTCAAAGCAAATCACAACTGAGTCCCTCTCCAGAGAGTCAGGGGGACAAGTGTCCGTTCTCCAAAGCCCTTTTAGGAATGATGATCTGATCATTGCAACACTGCTGCCTACAAATAATTTGCTTCACCCAATCTCATCTTCCAAAGGAATTTCCACAGGGCCAGCTCATGAGACATCTCCACCAGCAAATATCGTGGGATAATTACTTGTCATAATTAGGTCAAAAGCAGATACCAGTTTCCATTAATTCATAGACTTCTTACCAAATCCCAAAGAGCCAGGTTTTCCTAATTTATTTTTTCCATGCAGTATAAACTTTCTTTCTGTCTTTGTCTGAAATCACCCATCAAGTTTAATGTTGAAGTTCCCATTCTTAAGTTTGTCATGTTTTAACCAATCCTGGTTTTCTACTACAAATTCATTCACAAAAAAAACCCCAAAACCACCACCAACAACAAAAAGCCTGTTTATTGTTCTTATCCCTGGTTTGGCAACAATATACCTTAAATCCTTCCAAAAAAATTGAAAAAGGTAGGCTGTGGTAACATAAACAGATATATTTCTGTAAGAATCTGTCTGTCTTTTATCCCAGTGGGGAGGAGATGGAAATGATTTTCACTAAGCGTGGGTTTCTGCATCTTTCTGTGTCTTTTAGCATTTGTGTTTAGAGACCCCACAACTTTATCCCTGTCTCTGCAGTTACACTGGTCCTCCTCTCTGCCCCTTTCCCCTCAGAGTTCCTCAGAGTGCAGGTTGGGAAGCCCTGGGTCACAAGACATGTTTTATTATTAAATTATTCCATGTGACAGACAGCTTGTTTACACAGGCCAGTACTGTATTAAAACACAGTCAAAAAGAACACCAAGTACAGGGAGAAAAAAAGTCGTGTGAGAGATGAAATGTCACAGAAAGAGTATTTCTGAAAAAATTCTGGGGAAAAGAAAATGGGTATCTCATAATAATTAATAATTTCCCAGGGATGAAACTGCAGTCCATCGATATGCCCTAATCAGGAAAATCCCCCTTCCCATTGTGACAGATAAATGATGCCATTATTTCAACTTGAGTTTCCCTGAAAGCCTTGCAAAACCCATTCCTCATGCAAATAGCTTGTGCATTATCCTCATAGCAGCTCTCCATAAAATTGGAAATAAATGGCTGATCATATACAGAACATTGAGTGTAAAATAGTTTTTTTTATATCAGACTTATCAGAATACTGAGTGACAACCCATTGCTTTCTTTTCTCATATCTCAGGAGTATGTGAGCATGGTAAAATCTTTCCTAGT